TGGGTCTGACCCTGACCTTTACCTGCAGTCACCATGCCCACAGCTCTCCTGCTCATGGTATTCCTGGATCTGGGGACATACAAGTGGGTTTTTGCCTCTTGGCCTGTGCTCATGGTGCTCACCGAGCTTGGAATGTCTTCTTTTCAGCCTTCCTAAATCCTCCTCAAAAACTCATCTTACATTTGGCCTTTTTCATTCTGCCAGGCAGAAGGAACTGCCCCCTTTCTAGTATCCTAATGATTTTGTTTATAAATCATATTATAGTGTTTATACTAGTCTGAGTGGAATCATGGTTATTTTCGAGCCTACCCATCAGAATGGAGTAGGAACTTGAATTTAATGTTTTTATTTCGTTTGTTCACTCAGCAGATTTTCTTAATTTCTGATATATTCCAGCTCATGGTGATGTTAATGCAAAAAATAGGAACCCTGCCCTCCAGGACAATGCTCAGAGAGAGAAGGAGGCAAGTAGGTCAGCAGTGGCAGCCCAGGACCTATACACCTGCTTGAAGTGTTCCTCTCCTGTCATGAGGCCATGGAAGGAGCCTGACCCTTTAGGCTTTTCTTTAGACTCTTTTAACTCGATAGCAAGTACATCGTTTCCCAGAAGACCTGAATAAGATGATTGAAATCAATAGTAGAAGTATAAACCTGATTAGTGAGTTGCTTGGATCTTTTTAAACCCTTGTTGATGCCATGTTAGTCTGGTTCAGACGTAGATTTTATGCCTGTGTAACAGCTAGATTTGTGAGGCTGGAGAATAAAAGCATAAATCCTTCAAAGCGAGGGAGTCTTGCAAGCATTCCAGTGCTGGAGGCTTGAATTGTGCAGGGAAGCTCTGCTGGAGATTTGCAAGGATGCAGTTATGCTCTGACATCCAAGTGCCCTTGGAAGGTGATCCTTCCTGGGAGTGGGCACCTTCCACAGTTGCAGGGTTGTCACTGTCCTCTACAGGTCAGAATAAGTACCACCATGTCTCATGGCCTTAAAAATGTACTTCCATCTTCAAGTATTATCTTCAAAATGGGTGATTATTATTTCTTGTGGATTCTCTAAGAATTGTCTTGTCTTTAATTTGAGTTCAGTGTGGGAAGCAGCATGGAAAAAGCAGTCTGTAACTCTTTGGGGATCTTGAGCCTTGAATGTGATGACAGCTGTACATCTGTTCTCATGTTAAGAACTGTTGAAGAATTAGAGATTTCACTTATTAACTTGTCATTTCCATGCACACAATAGAAAACCTCAGTAGACCCTGCACTCAGTACTACTGCCAAAAGTATAAATTTTCGGAGAGACTTTTTTCCATCTTTCCATCCTGGGAGAAAAATCATTAAAAAGGTGTGATTGAGTGTCTACTAAGGAAATGTTTTACTTCTGATCATACATCGATGCACATACTGTGTTTCAAAGGCACCATACATTTGGACATGAGAACATTTGAAGACCCCATACCATTATAAAGGGTTGGTGAATGGCAACCTTAGGTGTAAGTGGGTCTTTGTGGGGATCATTACTCTGCTACTGGGCTCTCTGATCTTCAGTAAAATGGAACAGAGCCACCTGCTTCGCGGAGTTGTTGTCTGAATGAGAGTTAACCCGCCCATAAAGCCCTTATATACTCAACATCACCCTGGGCCCTTGGCAAATCGTAGTTGTTTTCCTCATTTCGCTATAGAGAGGGTTTATACCCATGGGAAGAATGTTTTTCATTGTCCAACTCCTTTCAAATAAATTTGGAAACTAAGATGAAATGGAATAAATCTGTAGGAAAGTACAGTCTAACACAACTGAATCCTATAGAAATAGAAAGTCTAAACAGGGTAATTTCCATAGAAAAAAAATAGAGGAGGTTGTAAAGGGTTCCCTTCCAAAGAAGCATCCGTAACAGATTGATTCACAGGGAATATCTACCAAACATTCAAATATTAGGTGACTTCAATGCTACTTAGGTTATTGCAAGAGAATTGAGAAGAAAGATAAACTTCTGATTTTGCTCTGCGTGTAGAATGTTGACTGTGAAACTTGACAAAGATTGCACATAAAAATAAAAACCATGTATCAAGCTAATGCATTAATATCAACATAGGAATTTTGAATAAAAACTAGCAAACTAAAGAAAAAAGCACACAAGAAAAGAATTACCAATGAATGATTAAAGGAGATTTAGTCCAGAAGTATGAGTAAGGTTTACTATTAGAAGTTTATTAATAGATCTTAAGAAAAATATCATGTGAAAGTCAACATCCATCCATGATAAAACTATTCAGTAAGGTATATGGGTACTTTCTAAACACATGTACACATGTGTGTATAGCCCAAAAGCCAGCAGCCAGCATCTTACCCAGTGTGGCAATACCACTAAAGTTAGGAGCAAAACAAAGATGCCCATTACCTCTATGAATAGTTAATATTATACTGAATTAGTCAATTTGATCAGGTAAGAGAAAACAGAGGCTTAAGAACTGAAAATTCAGAGTAACAATCTCTATTTGCATATGACGTGATTGTATATCTAGCAAACCAAAAATAAGTGAAAAAAAAGACCCATGGATAAATTTCTGCAAACATTAATTAAGAATTTAGTGAAGGAGCAGGATATAAATTTAACAGCCAGAAGTCAATAGCATTGTTTATAAATATGATAACCAGTTAACACACATAATGGGAGAAAAGATACCTTTTATGGATACCTAGGCATAAATGTAACAGGAAAATACAGAAATAGACCCAATTGCATATGCAAATCTACCATATAGCGATGAAGACATCTGAAATCAGAGGGGCTTCCCCACTGATGGGTTTTTTTTTCCTAAGTGGTATTAGAATAGCTGGATAGACAGGGAAAATGATAAAATTGGATCCATTCCTCACTTGATGCACCAAGATCAAGTCCAACTGCATCAGCGCTTTCAATATAAAAAAATAAAACCCTTCAGTTAGTAGCAGGAAACATGAGTGAATTCCTCTATAATCTGGCAATGGGAATTTTTTTTTCAGATTAGGAGTCAGAATCCAGAAGCATTAAAGGAAAAGATAGAAAACTATATATAAACTAGTTTTAACAGACACATTTTAGAACAGTTTTAAGTACACAGCAGAGATGAGCGGAAAGTATGGACAGTTCCCATATAACTCCTGTCCCCACACACGGAGCCTCCACCGCTGTCAGCATCCCACACCAAAGTGATACATGTGTTACAATCAGTGAACTTACACTGCTACATCCTCATCAACCAGGGTTCATAATGTACATCAGGGTTCACTCTTGGTGTTGTGCATTTGTTGGTTCGAAACCTTGGGAGTTCTCAGGGAGAAATTCAAAGCTGGCCCACGTTCTCATATTTAATGAAACTTAACTTACCCAAGGAAAGAAGCAAACAGATAAATGTGTGGAGTGCTTTCTAGGAAGTTGGATGGTTCTTTACTCTATTTGGTTATATAAACCTTATCATTTAAGGAGCTTATCATTTAAACTTGACATCAACTTGCTGATTTAATAAGGAACAAAAGCCTAATGCATAATAAAATGTGAGGGAAGTGCATTTTTAGCATTATTTCCATTTTAGCAATATTTCCCAAAGTGTGGAATAGCCCAGCCTGTGGATAAGCCTGGCCCCCAGCCTCCACATGTGACGTGCACAGTCCTCTGTGTGTGTGTGTGCGCGCGCAAGAGAGATCTGCGTGTTAAGAGGGTGTCTCCGTGGCAATAGCTTTTGTCCTATCTAGTTGGGGTCCCTGCGTGTGTAGCGTGACAGAGTTTACACTGTCACAGGGGTTATAGGGTAGCACCGCTGCGACCGAGCACGACTGCGGTTGGTTGGTCAGGAGTCAGGCAGGACGCTGAGGGGAGCCGCACAAGAGACATCCTCGATGTGACAGACAGACCAGAGCACCTGTGAGTGTGCAGGACACCCTCCCAGGACTGTGGCCTCAGGGAATCAGGGGCCTGGGAGGGAGAGAGGGAGCCAGGGGTTGTGACAGGCTAGGCCAGGCTACAGTTGCCCAGACAGAAGGGCATGGGAAGGACCTCTGTGCTCTGGGCTCCCGGGTGACCCTCGCAGGGCTCCCAGCAAAAGAACGGCCACCTCAGTCTCACTGCCTGTTGAGGGGAAGGTAAAAGGCCGAGGACAGCTCTTGTCCCAAGAGGAAGACCAGGACACATCCCCTCAGCGCCACCCAGCTCTCCCTTCTCAAACCTCCATCACCTCACACACAGAGAGGAATCATGCAAATACCTTCTCAATAGATAACCAGCAAGGACCTACTGTGTAGCACAGGGAACTAATCTCAGTATCTTATAATAACCTATAAGGGAAAAGAATCTGGAAAAGAATATATATATGTATATATTTATATATATGTAAAACTGAATCACTTTGCTATACACCTGAAACTAACACAACGTTGTAAATCAACTATACTTCAATTTAAAAAAATAAATAAAATCATTTATTAAAATATATAACATATATTTTTAAAGAGCACATAAATTATTTTTTAAAATACCTACTCAAGGATAAAGAGCGTGTCCCCCAAAATGTTTTTAGGAAAATGCCTAGCCAGGGGCCTGGTCCTCAGGACGTGGTTAGTGACTCTTCTGATTCTCAGAGAGTTGCCCCCATGCTGGTGGTCTGTGACCAGAGCCAAGGGTACAGCCCCCTTGTAGGCACATAGGTGGCCCTCGGGAAGGGAGCTGGCAGCTGGCGGCCCCCCACCATGGCCTCAAGGGAACAATGCTGTGTTCACTGTACCTGCTGCATAAGCCACAGAGACACCCCCGCCCACGTGGAGTCGTCCTCACAGGGCGGCTGGGAGCAGGAGAAGGGCAAGTTCATGGCTATGTAGAAATGGAAGGAAGGACTCTCGGTTTCATTTTCTATCAATTTTCACATAACAACCAGAAACTTCTGCTCTTCTCTCTTTTTTGAGACATTCAAACCACAGGATGTTACAACAGAAAGTGTCCTTATCTCACTTAACCAAAGCGCTGTATTTTGCAGGGAAGGGGCCGGAGGCTCCAGGATGAGCTTGGATGGTGAGTGCAGAAGCAACTCCCCTGACCCCCCTGCCTGGGCTCCCCACAGAGTCCCACTGTGCATTTCCAGGCCTCCACTTCCATCTGCCCTGGACTCAGGGACTGGGGCACAGCCAGGAAGGAGGGTGCCTGTCATCCTGCCTGTGTCATACTCAGCAAGGTAGGGGCACACCGTGCCCCTGGTGCTGTCGGGAACGAGCACCTGCCTGTCTGCATCCATGCCTACACGTAATCAATTAGCAAACCTGCTGGTATTTCCAGCGGGACTGGGCGAGAGCAGTGAGAAGACATGCATCCCCTCTATCATCCAGGCTAGCTCTTCAGAGCTTCCAGAGGCAGCAGTTCGGTTCCTCAGTGGAGACCTGGGCAGGACAGTGTTGTCCTTAACATCACCGGTTGGATAATAGCTCACTTTTACTGAGCATGCGCTGTGGGCCGGTGTGTTTCATGCACTAACTCCTTCAAACTTTAGATCGGCTAAGAGGTACTATTATGATTTTAATCCACCAATGAGGAAGCTTAAACAGTGTACCTGAGGCCACACAGGCAGTGGTGGTGGAGCCACTTTGGCACCGAGAGACTGATTCCAGGGCCAAGCCCCATCCCCAGACTGCACTGCGTCTCCTAAGGCAAAGCCACAGCGGGAACAGCTTGACACACCCCTGTCCCCAGGGCAGGAGGCAAGACCCTCAGAGAAGTTCTGTCCAAGGGCCAAGATATAGAGCTGGGATATGGCCACCCAGGCCCTCACAGGGCTAGAACGGGCCAGGGGTGCCTTGGCCATGCAAGGCAGGTCGAGGGGCCTAGCAGTGCTCTCTGGAGGGCTGGCATGGGGCAGTGGGGGTGAGGATGGCCAAGGTGGCCAGGAGCCCGTGTCCCCACTGGCCTGGGTCCTCCTGTGTCATCACAGCGTGTGAATGTGTGGCCTCAGTGGCATTAGGTTTAAGAAATAAGTCTTCAAGGGGACGTGCACATTAGCCTCTTGCACGCAAATGTTTGTACTTGAATGTGGCGAAAAGGTCATTTGAAGCCCACCCTTTAATTTCTGTCTGTGTGGAGGACAAGGCACAGAGGAGGAGGTGTGGGCATGAATCTGCATTGCAGCGTTGGTGAAAGCCGGTCTTGGTCCCAGGTTGGCAACCTGGTGTAAGTGTAGAAATGATTTAGGTTGAGTTATGCGCAACAGCCAAAAGTTGGAAACAACCAAGGGTCCAGCTACAGATGAATGGCTAAACAAGGTGTGATCCGTCCATATGGTGGATTATTATTCAGCCTTGTTGTGGCCTGCATTCTGTGACCTCCCAAAATTCATATGTTGAAGCCCTAACCCCCAATGTGATAGTATTAGGAGGTGGGGCCTGCGGGAGGTGATAGGGCTTAGGCGAAGTCATGAGGATAAAGCCCCCATGATACAGTTAGTGCCCTTTTGAGAAGATACCAGAGCGCTTGCTCACTCTGCCACGTGAGGACCCAGGGAGAAGGTGGCATCTACAAGCCAGGATGTGGGCTCCCACCAGACACCGGAGCTGCTGGCACCTTGATCTCGGACTTGCCAGCCTCCAGAACTATGAGAAATCAATGTCCCTTGTTTGAGCCATCTGGTCTGTGGCATTTTGTGACAGCATCCTGAACTAAGATGAGCCTTAAAAAGGAAAGAAATCCCAACACCTATTACAACACAGATGCACCTTGAAGACACCATGCCAAGCAAAATAAACCAGTCACTGAAGGACAGATATTATGTGATTTACTGATAGGAGGCTCCTGAAGCCATCAAATTCAGAAACAGAAAGTAGAGTGGTGGTTTCCAGGGGCTGGGGGAGGGGGGAAATGGGAGTTATTGTTTAATGCGGACAGAGTTTCTGTTGGGGAAGATGAAAAAGTTCTGAAGATGATGGTGGTGACGATGATGCACAATAATGCAGAATGTACTTAATACCACTGAACTGCACACTTAAAACGGTTAAAATGGTCAATTTCATGTTATGTATGTGTTACAACAATAAAAACATGCAAGATTCAATGTATTGATGGGGTGCTTACTATTAAGGTTGAAAACAGCTCTGTAATGGGAAAGGGATCCTCACTGAAATATAAGTACTTGCTACAAGGAAGAAATTTGAGACACCACCCCCCTTGCAGAAGCCCCCAGACGTGGGAGGTGATGGCCACCCAGTAAGTAGGTACCTGTAGGGCCCAGGAAGGCAGCGGGCTTGATGCAGGCAGTCAGCCGAGCCCCAGGTGCATCTCCTGTGACACGAAGCAAAGCCTCAGCCTCTGGCTGACTGTCAGGAGAGTAACATGCTCTTCTCTTCTGCTTTGTCCCCCAGGTGGCAGTGACCAAAGAAGAGGCTCTCCTGGCCAAGGCCCCAGTACATGGAGAGAAGGAAGACAGCAATCTTCTAATTGGAGCCATATACATTAGGTCAAAGCATTTTCTTATTTTCGAGCCACACCAACTCAAAAATCACACCCCAGTCAGAGCCATGTACAAGCTGGTGTAGTAACAGTGAGTGTCTCTGAGGTCACAGGCCCCACTGTCTCGTTCCTCCATCCTGGCACCTTCAATGAGCTTATTTCTCCAACTCTTACAAATGCTCAGGTGGGCTCAGAGAAGTTACACAGCATGACACAGCTCATCACAGGGGCAGAGCTGGGGCTGAGATTAGGCTAGCATTTCTGGCTCTAAAGCAGCAGCAGTCGGCACAAACCTAGCCCTCTGAGCAGAGCCCATCCAAGTGCTTATCCTGAAAAAGGAACGGGACACTCATCAATAGCATGGGATTTAAACTCACCCCACGACATGTAAAGTTAATTACATATTCATTAGGATAACATTTTCCATCATCTTTACTCAGCAAACTTTCTGTGAAGGTCCAAATAGTAAATATGTTTAGTTTTTAAATTTTAATTTGATCTGTTTATTTTATTTATTTATTTATGGCCGCACTGCATGGCATGCTGGATCTTAGTTTCCCGACCAAGGATCAAACCCATGCCCTCTGCAGTGGAAGCGCAGATTCTTAACCACTGGACCTCCAGGGAAGTCCAGTATGTTTGGTTTTGTGGGCCTTATGGTCTCTGTTTTAACTGCTTGACTCAGCCACGTGCACAAGCAACCACAGACAGTACGATGAGTGGGCGTGGCTGGTTCCAATACAACTTTATTCACAAAGTCAAGTGGTGGACCATACTTTGCCAACCCCTTACTGAAGGAGACAGAGGGTGCATTTGTGCTTTATCAGGCATGACTGTATTACCACTGGTGGCCCTGGTTCACTGGTGGGAGTCACCCTCACATGCTGTGTGCTGGTTGGTTTTCCCCAGCAGCCGGCTGGCACAGTCGGCCTGTGGTCAAGCTGCAGGGCACTGTTTTATCCCCCTACCTGGGATTCTTCTGCCTAGGAAATCTGAGACCTTTATGAATTTTGTTGGATTGTTGTCGTGAGAATGACAACTCTTGGAAAGTTGGCGAACGGTTTGTCCTCTTCAGCAAGTGTAGTATTTCTGTCGACTCTGGATTGATGTGGAATCTTTCCTGAGAGCCAAGTGAGGGGGAGGGCTGAGGTGGGCACAGGGATGGGTCAGTGATAAAGGCGTAGGTGGGATATAGTGGCAACACAATTACATTTGTGGAAGTGTTACACGTCTGCATAACTTGGAAGGGGATTAGAAATCTAGCGACTCCAAATGAATCTTAAGATCCGGTGTTTAATTTTTCTAGACCAACCTAGACCATCCTTTTCAATCGGTAGTCACTGAAATAGACAGAACGCAAAGTAGGAAGCACTGAGCTGGGAATGCCCCCTCTCTCCTGTGGCAGCTACAAAGGGAAGACATTTGAGTCTGACTTTTATAATTTATTGTCACACATCAGGCAATCAGGCAATGTCCCACATTAGCTCAAATATATGGCACAGCGAGCAGAACTGGTTTCTTCTCTCCATCATGTTTGCCTCTCTGTTCTCTCCTGCAGATGGATGGTTTCTAGCCTGCTTCCAAACCCCACCTCGGCTGAGTGTTGGGCGGCCCTTCTACACGATCCTATGACTCTTGATATGGACGCAGTCCTGTCAGACTTTGTTCGGTCCACGGGGGCAGAACCTGGTCTGGCCAGAGACCTGCTGGAAGGTAGGCCTCCTCCAGCCCACCCCCCAACCCAGTGACAAAAGATAAGAAGGTTTCTCTTACCTGACGAGGGTGGTACTTGGACTCCTAAAAAAGCAAAAGAAGGTGTGGATGATGAAATCACTTTTGTTATTCTTGTCTTTCTTTGGGGAATGGAATAGATCACCCAACTCTCTACAGTAAAAGAGCAGAAGGCATTAGCTAAGCTTTGCTTTGCGTTAAAGCTTACACATACCGAGTCAAAATCTACCAATACCTATTTTTTAAAGAAAATATATCTAGTAAAGCAGAAATTAGAGAACATTCAAAAAAACACTTTTATTGGAGACCGTAGCTTCTTATCTTTGTCTTAGCTGAGACAAAAATACTTTAGGCCAAAGTTTTTGGTGAAAGAACACCTAATAGCCAATAAAATAGTTGAAAATAATTCACAAGCAAGAAGGCAAATTCATCCTCAAGCTTTTAGAGTAGATGCCATTCACTACATGAAAAATGTGCATAGTCCATATTTAGAATGTTTTCAGATAGTTATTCGGCTATAGTCATAATAAAATAAAAAGTAATGTTTAGTTTCAGTCTCTAGAATGGATTTACTTTGTGTATTTTTGAAATTTCTTTTTTCGTGGTGGGGTGAAGGGAAGAAGTGGGAAGAACCAATTACAACTTCTTAGGAGCGTCCTGTGTGTGAAAGGGGAAAATTTTTAAACAATTAATCTTTGCTTCATATGTATAAATTCCTACTTGTGAAATTAGCAAATACTTGGTCAAGTCGTGTTAAGTCACAATGATTCCTTCATTCACTTAGGGAAAAATATGAATTACTGTAGATTTGTATGACTGGAGGTAACTATTCGATCCTATTGAAAATTAGCCGCTTATTGGGGGATTCTGATAAAATGGGAGTAGTTTTTAAATTTCCCTGAACCTCCCAGAATTTCAAACAAACTCGGGGTTTACCATAAAATATGCTTAGAGAATATCAGTGATATATGTGAATCAAAGTGCTGTTCTAACATCTCCCTGATAGCTTTCACTGCTTTTCTTAATTTCAGTGAGCAGTCATATGGGGAAGTACGTTTACAGTGAGATTGGCAACAAGGGCTGGGGTCAAGTCCAGACTCAACATTTACTGGCTACGAGATGCAGGGCAAATTATTTCATTTCCCTTGAGCCTCAGTTTTTTTTCTGTACAATGAGCCTAACCCACTTTCCAGGGTGATCGTAAACATTAGGAGTTGTGATGTAAATGCTCAGGTGGAGTGAGCAGCGTGTAGAGATGCTCAGACAGTAGCAGAAGATCTTGTCCGTGGTTGCCCTCTTTGCAACTAGTACTGACCTCGCTGCTGAGGACTGGTTAGGCTTCAATTGGAAGCAAGAGTTGTCAACTCTTTTCTTTTTTCTTTAATTTTATTTTTTAAGGGAAAATACAGGAAAATGACTTTTTGTGTACAGTTCTAAGAATTCGAACATGTGTATAGATTTGTGTTACTATGACCGCTCTCAGAACACAGAACTGTCGCATCACCCCCAAGTACCCCTCCTGCTCTCTTTAACGCTGTGCCTTCCCCAACCCTGGGCACTGGCAACCCCTGCTCTGTTTTTTTATCACTTTGGCTTTGTCTCTTTCGAGAACTTTATATACATGGAGTCACGCAGAACCTAATCTTTTTAAACGGGCTTCCTTTCACTCAGCGTAATTATTTTGAGATTCATTTGAGCTGTTGTGTGTATCCATAGTTTGTTCCTTTGTTCTACTGAGTGGTACCCATTGTAGAGATGGACCATGGACTGTTTAGCCATTCACCTGTAGGGGGCATTCAGTTGTTTCCAGTTTTTACAGTTAGACTAGAACTGCGATACTCTTGAGAACAGGGGTTTTGTGAACACAGTTTTAATTTTTCTAGGGTAAACACAGGGGAGGGATTGCTGGTTCACATGGTAAGTATATGTTTAACTTTAAAAGAAGTTGCCAAACTGTTTTCCAGAGTACAATACCGTTTTGCATTTCCACCAGAAACGTGTGAGAGTGCCAGCTGCCCCACATCCTCACCAGCTCTTGGCTTTTTAAAAAAAAATTTAGCCATTGTAGTAGGTTTGGAATGGTATTTCCTCATCATTTTAGTTATCATTTCCCTAGTGACTAATGATGCTGAATTTTTTTCATGTTATAATTTTTCATCTGTGTATTTTCCCTGGCAAAATATCTGTTCAAGCCTTTTTCCTATTTCTCAGCAAAATTAGGTTGCTATTTTTTTTAGAGTTGAGTTTTGAGAGTTCTTTATATATTCTGAGTATAAATCCTTTGTCAGATACGTGATTTGCAAATATTTTCTCCCAGTCTGTGCTTGACTTTTCACTCTCTTAGCAATGCCCTTGGCAGAGCAGAAGTTTTTAATTTTGATGAAGTCCAAGTTATCATTTTCTTTTCTTTTATGGATCATGCTTTGGATGACATGTCTAAGAACCTTTGCATAACCAGGTCATGAAGATTTTCTCCTGTGTGAACTCTTAAAAGTTTTATACTTTTATGTTTTCATTTAGATTTCTGACTCATCTTGAGTTGATTTTTGTATAACGTGTGAGATTTAGGGTAAGGTTCATTTTTATGCGTATAGATGACTGGTTGTTCAAACCATTTTTTGAAAACCTTATCCTTCGTCCTTTGAATTGCCTTTGCACATTTGTCACAAACCAACTGAGGGTATCTGTAGGAAACTATTTATTGATGCTGGTTCAGTTCCACTGATGGCTATGTCCATTCCTTAGCCAATACTCCACCATCTTGATTACCATAGCTTTGTAGTGAGTCTCAAAATCAGCATGATTCTTCCAATTTTATTCTTCTTTTTCAAAAGTGTTTCAAGTATCCTATTTTTTTGCCTCTCCATATAAACTTGAAGATTGGGTTACCTCTATCTATAAAGTTTCCTGCTGGAATTTTTATTGGAATTATGTTAAATCTATAAATCAATGCTAACTATGTTACGTCTTCCAACCCATGAAGTCAGTGTAGCTATATTTTCCATTTATTTAGGCCTTATTTCAGTGCTTTCATGAACATTTTGTAGTTTTTAGCATATCAGATCCTGTACGTATTTTGTAAGATATATATCTAGGGAGGAATTGAACTTCTGTAGATGGTATTTTTTTTAAGTTCGGTTTCTAATTGTTCATTGCTCGTATATAATCAACATGCAATTGATTTTTCCATGTTGCCCTCATATCCTGCAATCTTACTAAACTCAATTATTTGTTCAAGAGTGTGTGTCTGTGTGTGTATTCCTTGAAATTTTCTATGTAGACAATTATGTTGTTTCCCTTCCAATGTGTATGCCTTTTATTTATATTTCTTACCTTACTCTTATTCTTCACTTATTCCTGTTTATTGCACTGGCTAAGACTTCCAGTTAGAGGTTGAATAAGAGTGGTGAAAGGGAACATCCTTGCCTTGTTCTTGATCTTAGAGGGAAAGCTTTCAGTCTTTCAGCTTTATATAGAATGGGTTTTTGTTGATATTCTTTGTCAGGTGAAGGAAATACCTTTCTGGTCCTAGTTTGCTGAAAGTTTTATCATGAATAGTTGTTAAGTTTTTCCCAAATGCATCTTCTACATCAGCTGATATGATTGAGTTGTTTCTATTCTTTAAACTGCTAATATAATGTATTGCATTGATTGCCTTCTAATAGTAAACCAGCCTTTCAGCCATTATTTCTTTAAAGATTTTTTCTGCTGCACATTTTTCTCCTCTCTTAATGGGACTTGGGTGATATAAAGGTTAGACCTTTTGTTATTGTCTTACAGGTCCCTACAGTTCTACTCAATTTGTTTTCCAGTCATTTCTCTGTCAATTTTTCAGATTGGATAACTTCTGTTGATCTACTTATAAATTTACTGAATCCCCTGTCATCTCCATTCTGTTACTGAGCCCATCCAATGACTTTTTATTTTATTTGTTGAATTTTTTCATTTCTAACATATCCACTTGATTCTTCTTTATATCTTCTGTTTCTTTGCTGAGACTTTCTGTATTTTTCAAGAGTGTTTGCTCTCTCTTACTGGTTAGAAAATATAATAACTGCTTTAAAGTCTTGGTCAGTTAATTTCAATATCTATGGCATCCCAGCATTGCTATTGAGATTTCCCTGGGTTTTTTGGTATAGTGAGTAAATTTCTATTGTATCCTAGATATTTTGAATATTATGTTTTGAGACTTTGGTTGTTTTTTAAATCTTATGGCAGATATTGTTATTTTTGTTTTAGGAAGTAATTAACCCCGTAGGGTTCAGACCACAAGTCCTCAGTTCCCCAAGACTTCTGTGGATCGTGGTTTCGACTTCAAGTCTTTGAGAAGTGCTGTTGGATCTGTCTGGTGTATGTACCACCTACTGGCCAGTCTGGGACTTAGGCAAGTCGTCTGTCCCATATTTTACTGCTCCAAGTCTCTGGAGTCTATTTAGGGTCAGATCCATACATGTGCAGTTCAGGGGTAAACCCAAGAGTTCATAAACAACTTTAAGGGGTTGCTTTCCCAAGCTCCTGCCTTATCATAATTGCCTCGATAGTTCTGCGTCCCTGGGACTCTGCTCTCCAGCCCTTCAGCCAGCACCCTGAGGCTGTGTTTGCCCCGCACTCCTGCACACTTGATTTGACTGCACCCATCTCAGAGCTGAGCAGAGGCCAGAGAGAGAGCAACAGCAGTGGGGCTCGCCACACCCGCTGGGATCCACAGCTCCTCTGATTAGAGAGGAAGGTTCTCGGCCTTCCTGTTCTGATTTCCTGCCATCTCCCATTGCTGCCACAGGATTGCTTGAGGTCTGGGGCACAAGAGAACTGAGGAAAAAAATTTAAGAAAAAAAAAGATAAATAAGGGACTTCTACACTCTCTCTGAACATTGTAGACCCCCTTCCTGCTTCTTGAGCCAGAGGAGAGGTCTCCTCTTGGAACCAATGCCCACTTCTGAGTTCTGGGCTGCACTGAGTTCACGTCAGAGAGACTAGAAATA